ACACACAGGGGAGAAACCCTTTGAATGCTCAGAGTGTGGAAAGAGATTCAGTCAGAGTAGCCATCTTCAAATGCATAAAAGAACCCACACAGGGGAGAAACCTTTTGAATGTTCAGAGTGTGGAAAGAGATTCAGTTGCAGTAGCCATCTTCAAAACCATAAGTTGCAGTACCAATCTTCAAAACCATCAAAGAACCCACACAGGGGAGAAACCTTTTGAATGTCCAGAGTGTGGAAAGAGATTCAGTCAGAGTAGCCATCTTCAGTATCATCAAAGAACCCACACAGGAGAGAAACCTTTTGAATGTTCAGAGTGTGGAAAGAGATTCAGTTGCAGAAGCAATCTTCAAGTGCATAAAAGAACCCACACAGGGGAGAAATCTTTTGAATGCTCAGAGTGTGGAAAGAGATTCAGTTACAGTAGCAATCTTCAAGTGCATAAAAGAACCCACATGGGGGAGAAATCTTTTGAATGCTCAGAGTGTGGAAAGAGGTTCTGTACGAGTGGGAGTCTTCAATATCATCAAAGAACCCACAGAGGGGAGAAACCATTTCAGTGCTTAGACTGTGGAAAAAGATTGAGTACGAGTGGCAGCCTTCGATATCATCAAAGAACCCACAGAGGGGAGAAACCATTTCAGTGCTTAGACTGTGGAAAAAGATTGAGTACGAGTGGCAGCCTTCGATATCATCAAAGAACCCACAGAGGGGAGAAACCATTTCAGTGCTTAGACTGTGGAAAAAGATTGAGTACGAGTGGCAGCCTTCGATATCATCAAAGAACCCACAGAGGGGAGAAACCATTTCAGTGCTTAGACTGTGGAAAAAGATTGAGTACGAGTGGCAGCCTTCGATATCATCAAAGAACCCACAGAGGGGAGAAACCTTTTGAATCTTTGGAGACTGAAAAGAGATCCACCACGAGTGGCTACCTTCAGTATCATAAAGGAATCCGCACAGGGGAGAAACGGTTTGAATGTTCAGACTGTGGAAAGCGGACTCAGTCAGAAGAGACATCTTAGAGTGTGGAAAGAGATTGAGCTGGAGTAGCATTTTTTCAGAAACTTCTGAGAACCCACAAAAGGAGAAACCATGTAACCACTTAGCCCATGAAACGAGCACTACTCTGGTGGCAAGGCATCGTTGCGGCTCATGGCAGATGCTTAGGGATTCTGCTCTCCTACCCCGTGACGGATTTCGACGCCTAACCTGAAAAAAATCACACCTACTGATGCTGTAATGGTGGGTAAGTCATATAACAATAAAAACAAGAAGATCCCACCACCTCTGCAGCCATTAACTGATTTTTTCCCAAGGGAAGAGCAAAAACCTGGAGCACTTCAAGACAGAGACTCAGAACATAAAATGGTGGACGGAGCCTTTGAAACAGCCCTGAAAGGGATACCTGTTTCCCGAGATGAGTTCTTCTCTACAGTACTAAAACTGGAAGAGAACATAGGGAATCAAATCCAGGGAGCAATCACCCCTGCACAGTTGGAGAACTTGGAAGAGTCTTTAACACAAGTATCTCAAGCAGCTGAGACAGCGTTGGAAGCATCTATAACAACACAACAAGAAGTCCAAAAACTGCAATCCAAGAGGCTTCCGGTATGGTGCGTCGACGGGAGGATGCGCAGAGCTTCAAGCTCTGTGCCTCCCGTCCCGCCTTTGCCTTTGTTTGAGCCTCCCGAACCGTGGGAGAGCTCGACCAGCCCCCCGGGGTGGGGGCTGGAGCAAGGGGCGCCTTCCTGGCCCCTCCCGTGGCTGGCAAACGCGGGGGGTGACCGGGACTGCCTCGACGCCGGGCGAAGGAAAGGGAGAGGAACATGGCCCCCGTGTTCCCAGAGACGCAGCCACCTGATTTTTTAAAAAACTAAAGTTGTTCGAGTTTTGAAGAGTCGACACATCATATTGCAGAAGAAATGCTGGTGTTTGGAAAGAAGAGAGCGGATTGTTTTACCCCCTGAGGTTAATCTCCGTAGTGTAAAGAAGCGGCCATTTTAAAAAAGTGCCAGGAGAACTGACAGAGACGAAAAGTGACGGGGGTAAGAGAAGATTGCTGTTTCTGCTGAAAGCTTTACTCCCACTAATATTAGTTTTGACTTTTGGGTTAGGTATTTTTTCTTTGCGGGTGCTGTTGGTTGTTGTTATTTGAAACCCTGGAAATATACTGAAAGAAGCTTACTTGAGAGTTATGCAGTTGAAAGAAAATGGAGACGGAGCAGACTAATGAGGACACTGACCGAGATAAAAAGACTGGTGAGCTCATATGGGACCGATTTCAAAAAACACTGATAGATGAAGTGAGGCGAGCTTGCGAAGAGGCAGTGAGGCAAGCATGTAAAGAAGCTTGTGAGACTATTTTTTAAAACTTTCCAAGTGTAAACTCTAAGAAGGAGGATGATAAAGAACAAATGCAAAGAGTGCAAAAGCGAGGTGAAGTCCAAGAAGTAGAGCAAGAGGGAGATATTTATGTTACTCAACCTATATGTTTGGAAGGTGAATTGCAAGAGGCGGATTCCCATGGATGTTTGGTTGAGAACCAAAGTAAGTTGAAAGCAGTAAAGGGGAAGAAAGACTTTGTTGAACCTAATTGGAAGAAAAGGAAGAGGTCAACTAGAGGGAAAAAAGTAAAAAAAGATGTGAGGAAGCCTAAAGGCTCCAAATACTCAAACTGGATTACAAAGGATTATGGGAAGGGAAACTTGGGAAGAGAGTTACGAGAATACAAGAATCTGCGGCATGTAGAAGAGCATGGAAGAAATCAAGATAAAAACGAAATCGAATTCTATGTCATTGTAATGTTTGCTATTTACTAGGGTAATTAATTAATTTTTCCCCCCTGGGTTACTGTTGTTATGAATTTATAAAGAGAGTGGTAATAGGAGGATAGAAAGCAGATGTAGTCTTATTTTTTTGGTTTTTCTTTTCTTCTTCTTTTTATTGTAAGTTAATTAGTTTGGAAAGTCATGGCTGATATCAAAAGTATTTTTTTTTTAGTTAGACGGTTTAAGATTAGTAATGTTGGGTAGTTTGTTACATGAAAGATTACTATAGAGGGTGAATTTGGGATTAGTTCTGGTAGTTAAAACTCTCCTCTGTTACTTTACTGCAAAAAGAAATTGATTGTTGGTACTTTAAGTTGTATATTTAATTATTTAAAATTAGTTGAGGTGCTGCAGTATAGTAGAAATTGATTTTGTTATGGTATTTATTGTTGAGAAGTAAGTTTAGTAATCTGAAATGACTATGAAATTAGGGAGGAATAGAATTGCTTTGGAAAGTGGTTAAATGTAGGTTCTTGTAGAGATTTGACTGGGGTGTTAGTAGCCTTGCTTTCTGCTGCTATATTGCAAGTTAAGTGGAAATGAATTGTAATGTTTATAAGAATAATAATATGGATATTCTGTTAGATAAATTAATTTTGGTTATGATATGTAGGTGTGGGTCAATAATAATAATGACACAGTAAATAAGAATGAATTTGTAGGTGATGATTTATAGGGGATGAGGTATTAATAAGTTATTTTGTTAAATGGAGTAATTGCAGAAATTAGAGATGTTGGATTAGTGCAATTGGCGAGGAATCCGTAAGATAAAGTAAAAAGCTTTGTACTAGAAGAAAATGAAGCGACAACATATTTATTTATAAGCAATATATTTAGACAATGTGATGTGTTGAGAAATTAATTGATGTGAGGATTTATGTGTGTTATTGTGTTGTATGTGTGTTTGCTATCTAAGCATAAAAAAACTAATAAATATATTAAAAAAGAGAGAGAGAGAGAAATCCAAGAGATATCATTGCTACTTTTCCTGATTTCAGAAAAAGGAATTCAATTTTGAAAATGTCCAGATCAGCGAGGGTTTAAAATATCAGAACACAAAAATCCTAGTACTACTAAACCTATCAGCAGAAACTGTTCATCATACAAGAGAGTCGAAGATCATTACAGACAAGTTACTCGACTGTAACATCAGATTTCATTGGATCTCCTCTGATGAACGTTTAGTTATTCACCAGGGAAAATAAAATATCAGAACACAAAAATCCTAGTACTACTAAACCTATCAGCAGAAACTGTTCATCATACAAGAGAGTCGAAGATCATTACAGACAAGTTACTCGACTGTAACATCAGATTTCATTGGATCTCCTCTGATGAACGTTTAGTTATTCACCAGGGACTCCAGCAACACCTACAGAGCCAGAAGATCTAGAAGCAGACCCTACATTCAAACGGATTCGTGTCCGCAAGTCTCATACGTAAAAACAGAAGGAACTGGAAAATCTATTAATAATACTCTTTGAAGGAGGGGGGAGGAGGTCAAAACAAACAAAGATTAGGTGATATTGTACTTTACTTTTCTTTAGACAATATAGGTTAGGTAGTAAGTCGGTTAGACAACTTAAGGGGGAGGGAGTTGAAACCTTGGCTCCCATATAGATAGAAGTGAGTAAGAGATCTTATATCTCTCACTAGCTGTAGTCCTGTTTACAGGACAAGGCTTAAGTGTAGTCTTTCTGGTTTTAGGTTAGAACAGATAAAAGGAAGTGCTTCTTCACCCAAAGAGTGATTAACATTGGAATTCACTGCCACAGGAGGTTGTGGCAGCTACAAGCATGGACGGCTTCAAGAGGGAATTAGATAAACATATGGAGCATAGGTCCATCAGTGGCTATTAGCCACAAGGTATAGATAGGAACTCTCAGTCTGGGGCAAGTGATGCATTGTATTCTTGGTGCTTGGGGGGGCAACAGTGGGAGGGCTTCTAGTGTCCTGG